TACGAGATGCACCGGCAGGTGCATCGTACGGATGTAGTCCCCGAGCTTGCTGGAAGGTGAGGTATGAGCCTTGTAGCAAGGTCTAAGTGAGAAAAAATATCCCAACTGTATGCGAGTCGCCAGTCGCATGTAGTCGAGACGCAAAGTCCCCGAGCCGTGGTCGGAGAGTGGCCGAGGCAGTCCTCGAGCACAGGTCGAGGAGTGAGCGACGAAGTCCCCGAGCCGTGGTCGGAGAGTGGTCGAGGCAGTCCCCGAGAAAGGTCGAGGAGCGAGCGACGAAGTCCCCGAGCTGTGGTCGGAGAGTAGTCGAGGCAGTCCTCGAGCACAGGTCAAGGAGCGAGCGACGAAGTCACCGAACTGTGGTCGGAGAGTTGTCGAGGCAGTCCCCGAGCACAGGTCGAGGAGCGAGCGACGAAGTCCCCGAGCTATGGTCGGAGAGTGATCGAGGCAGTCCCCGTGCGTAGGTCGAGAAGAGAGCGACGAAGTCCCCGAGCTGTGGTCGGAGAGTGATCGAGGCAGTCCCCGAGCGTAGGTCGAGAAGCGAGCGACGAAGTCCCCGAGTTGTGGTCGGAGAGTGATCGAGGCAGTCTCCGAACGTAAGTCAAGGAGCGAGCGACGAAGTCCCCGAGCTGTGGTCAGAGAGTGGTCGAGGCAGTCCCTGAGCACAGGTCGAGGAGCGAGTGACGAAGTCCCCGAGCTGTGGTCAGAGAGTGGTCGAGGCAGTCCCCGAGCACAGGTCAAGGAGCAAGTGATGAAGTCTCCGAGCTGTGGTCGAGAGAGGTCGTCGGCAGCGTCCGAGCACAAGTCAAGGAGGGAGCGACGAAGTCCCCGAGCTGTTGTCAGAGAGTGGTCTTGGCAGTCCCCGAGCACAAGTCAAGGAGCGAGCGACGAAGTCCCTGAGCTGTGGTCAGAGAGTGGTCGAGGCAGTCCCCGAGCACAGATCGAGGAGCAAGCGACGAAGTTCCCGAGCTGTGGTCGGAGAGTGATCGAGGCAGTCCCCGAACACAGGTCGAGGAGCGAGCGACGAAGTCCTCGAGCTGTGGTCGGAGAGTGGTTGATGCAGTCCCCGAGCACAGGTCGAGGGGCGAATGACGAAGTCCCCGAGCTGTGGTCGGAGAGTGATCGAGGCAGTTCCCGAGCATAAGTCGAGAAGCGAGCGACGAAGTCCCCGAGCATAGCTCAAAATTCCTGTAATATAAATATGTAGAATGGTAGTACATGCTGTACAAAGCAATAAATTATGGAGAAAATGTCACTCAGCAGTCATTTGCAAATGAGCATGATGTGATAAAGCAGTTGGTGCTTTGTAAACATCAGTGTTAAAGTGAAGTTTGTGTTTATACTTAATATAAACTGCCCGACCAGTTAGTATGTAGCTGAGTCTCCAGCCCTAGCTAGCCCGTTAACCATAACGCGGGGCGCGGAGCCCGTGCACGTGTAGGAAGAACAAAGCGTCGCTAAGGAGCCGCTGCCGACTACCCATAACGCAGAGGGCAGACGCTCGTGCACGTGTAGGGAGGAGCCGGAGACAGGGCCTTTTCTGGAGACATCGAGCGTCAACATGATTGGTCGAGGATTTGCATTAAGTATAGCTATATGTTATCTTTAAGATGGTATACATGGACAAACGTTATTTGAAGAATAATCATGACGAGGACGTTACGGAGAAACGTCGTAATGAAAATTGTATTAAATATAAATATTAGAAGTGTACTTATTTTTGGATAGAAATCTGGTCAGTGGCGATGAAGTTGTTCGGTCCTCGAGCTTTCCAACCTGTCGTCATGATGGTGGTCATGGTTGTCGTAGCGCCATTCTTTGCGGCGGTCATTATTGCGACGTGGTCTGGTGGTCGATGTGGTCGGAGCTCGACGGAGCTGCTCGGGACGTGGTCGACGTGGTCGTGGTCGGAGCTCGGTAGAGCTGCTCGGGACGTGGTCGTGGTCAACGTGGTCGGAGCTCGGCGGAGCCGTGGTCGACGTGGTCGTGGTTGGAGCTTCGGCGGTGTCGGTTCGCGTACGAAGACGTGCAGTTGATCTGCTTCATACATGGAGGTGTAACACGCAGTCTTCATATGTGGATGCATGTGTACAGGCAAGTCTTGGTAGCTTGCATGGCGGTGTAGATGCAAGTACGTAAAGCCTGCACGTGATGTATGTATATGCAAGTTGATCTGTTCGTATCTTGGTTTGGCTTGCATGTCTTCTCGTATGTACGTGAGGCATGTACAGATTGATTGGCTTGGCTTGCATGATGATCTAGCTTGCTGGCTTGTTGTCGTTCGGCTGACGCAAAGGCACATATTCATGTACGTACTCGTCCATACCAAATCTACCAGGCCTCACGGACTCGGCGATAGGCTTTCTCGGCGACGGGGAAGCAACGGACTCCACGGAAAACAGAACGGCAGCGACAAAAAGAGGCTCTAGGCAGTGCGACATGTAGCAGATGCGGTGCACGGACTCGCCTGGATCTGGCGCCTTCTTGTCCTCGTCCGATGCCTTCACCAAGTTAATGGAAACCTGCCGGCCCCACCTTAATCGGAGTAGACGTCGGGTTCGATTGTTGCACGACCACGCGAGTCTTCGATCTAGGTTGCTGGTCTTGGCACGGCGACTTGAGTTCGGCAGCAAATCTCCATGTTGACGTCGCAGGCAAGATGAAAGTCGATCTCGCCAGGACGTAAGTCTTGAGATCCCATCTGGTTCACCATGGATCAGCACGCACAACCCCTAAAAGGGGACCCCTACCTGGCGCGCCACTGTCAACGAAATATGGTCGGCAGTCCACCGAGGGGGGGTGCCCGTGGTGGTAGATTATCGGTAGGATGCGTGTAATCAGGAACCAGATAGCTACAGACACAAGACACAAGATTTATACAGGTTCAGGTCGCCAGTGTAGCGTAAAACCCTACGTCCTGTGCTATGTTATTTGTATTGATCTGGGGTGAGATTGTTATGATCTTTATGATCTAGATGGATTGTCCCCTGAGAGGGACCCCTGCCTCTCCTTATATAGTCTGGAGGAGGAGGGTTACAAGTAAAGTATCCTATTTGGTACTATTACAATATCTAGTACAACTTGTAATCTTGCCGTGCACACCTCGATCTTACGGGCCGGGCCACCTCGGACGGTGCGGCCCATGTCTTGTCTTTAGGATACCAGGGGCCATACCCCCACAGAGATGTATATAGTTTTTTAATAACCTTTGTATAAGTTTTGGATTTTTTTACATTATTACAAGGAGCATTTATGGCTCCGATTAGTTTCAATTGTTCCGATGGATTTTAGCGTTTTATAAAAGTAATAACTCTTGTTTTATTTGGCACATGGAATGCTATATAACACTTAGTTTTTTGAAGGTCATTGACGTTGACGGTGCGAGGGTGTTCCTTAAAGAATCCTTGAATGTATGGAGGCAAAAGAAATTGGAGTTACAAGAAACGATAGGGAGCGTCCGATCTTCATCACACGGCTAAAATAGAATCGAGTATGGATCCGCTTAGAAACACTTGTCTAGGAGGGTAGACAGGCGGGGCTTGGGACAGCTCCACTCCATGTTTTGCATCTTCGTTCCACGTTTTCTAGCCTAACAGGTTCAGCTTCACGCAACTCTGCTCCAGGAAAAAAAAGGTGGAGCTATGAGAGCACATAAATGGGTGCTCCACAAACTCAGGTTTTTATAGAGCTGCTCCACGGTGGATTTTGTGGGGCAGAGTTCGTGAACCAGTCATAAACACCCCCTTAGACATATGCTGTTAAAAATGTTAGATTTTTTTTTATCTTCTTGTTCTTATAATGGATTTTGTTGATTTTATTACCTTGTGCCTAGGCACGGTTAATTTCCTTTTTTTCTTTAATAATAAACGAAAGGTTCTGTTTGTTTTGTAAAAAACGGTTGCCGAAGTATATATATAATACAATGATGGGTTGCACAATTTCGTAACACATGAGTGGGACCCACATAGTCATCATCACTAAAAAATGGAAATCCCAATCGGTCCTTATTTGTTCTTCTCCCGCAGACCCGCACGCATCCGCTCTTCGTTCTTCCGCAGCGCAAATCTCCGGTCGGCCTGTTGCCACACGGGCAAATCCACTTCTTCTCCCATTCACTTACTACTCTCCTCAATTTTATTTTCCCAAGCTTCCTCACTTGAATCGAGCTTCCTTTGGCCAAATCGCGACCCAAAGTGGTGCTTGAGAAGGATGATGAAGGCAAGAACAAGTTGAAGATCACCGCTGGATCAACGCAATATTTGAAAAGGCAGCGGTGGTATGAAACAACAGTGGCACAACAGAGGCCGGCTAGGCCAACTCCACCAGTTGGCCAAGCCGACTCCAAAGACACCAACAGGGCGGTCGGCTCAACCGACTCAAAGGAGTCGGTGTAGCTGACTCTGCCACCACCTTTGCCAAGTCACCGAGTCGATCAAGCCGATCGGCTTAGGCAACTCTCCTGGTTCCAACAGCTCCGGCCCCTTCGGTGTTCGTGTTTTTGCATGACATTTGTTCCACAAATGACCGGAGATTGGCACCTGGAAGAGAAATGAGAAGAAGAACCAGGGAGAGTTCGTGAAGAAGCAATGCACCTTTGACAGGCTCATGGCCAAGTATAAGAACAAAAGGCCAATTCCCAGAAGCGGCCGTTTAAAAAAAGAGAGTCTACTCTGACTAAGCGGGAAGATGACAATATCAAGCAATTGGCGGTGGTGCAACCAACAGCTCTGTCTCAGAGAGTTGTTCCTCGTGTTTCTCGCTAGGGTCCCCCGATTCCGCCTCCGGTTACACCGCAATGGGGTCCTTATGGAGTTTGGGTGCCGTATCCTCTGGCAGCACCCGTGCATAGCCAACAAAGGTGGGAAGATCCTGCTGGTTCAATTCCAAGACCCTCCATCTTTAGCCGATTGAACAATTGTCAATCGAGCTCTAGCGGTACAAGTCAAGATCGTGTGATTACCTCCAGGACTTTGACTCCACAAGAGTCAAGAAAGGCACCAATGCAGCAAGTTTATGTGCCTAAGAAGGTTGAGATCCCCATCGTTCCCCCACCAAGAGCTAGGCCTCAATCGGTTATCACAATCGGCTCCATGGAAGCTCCCGTCACTAATCTTGATGGTCCGATTGTAATCGAAGAAATTCTGGATCTAAGCAAGATGAAGCTCCTAAAGATGTTTTTGGAGTTGAAGAGAAGAAACGTGTCGAAGGAGATTCCAAGTACCGGCAACCCGTATGGTGTCCTCGTGGGTTGAATAAAAGTCAACGGCGCAAATTGCAGCGTGCCCGACATAAGCAACAGAAGAGGGAGAAGCTTGCCAAGATGGAGAATGAAATCTTTGACCCCATACAGGTCGAAATCCCTCTGGAAGGTCGAAACGCCGCTACTGCTGCTGGCCAGTTGGCTAAGTCGACTCGCCAGTTGGCTAAGTCGACTCTAGAGTCGGCTAAGCGGACTCCTGTGTTGAGCCAGTCAGCTAAGCTGACTCCTGAGTTGGCTGAGCCGACTTTGCTTGCCCTTACTGCTTCAGAAGCTCCAGAGTCAGCTAAGTCGACTTCCGAGTCAGCTGAGATGACTCCTGCTGTCCCGGGTGCCTCTAAGGTGTCCTCTGATGATTTTTCTACTACCGTTGCTGCTCTGGTTGGCATGGAGGTTCCTGAGGTTCCCGATGAGGAGATGGTTGACTATGAGCCTACTCCAAAGAGAGTGGAGGTCAATGTAGTTGTTTTATCTGCTGATTACTGCATCGTGGCAGAGGACTCCACGGCGGTAGAATTTAATTTTGTAACGGAAAGCGCTGTATTTCAGAAACCAGATGACTCCATCAACCATCTCAAGCCTCTACATGTGAAGGGCCATATCAATGGCACACTGGTCCATAGCATGTTAGTGGCAAGTGGGGCGATAGTGAACTTGATGCCGTATCCGCTTTACAAGAAGCTCGGTGGCACTGATGAGGAGCTGATCAAGACCAACATGACAATAAGCAGCGTCGGAGGAGGTGCTCCTATTCCGGCCAGAGGAGTTGCTAACATGGAGCTCACCATTGGAAGCAAGACTTTGGCCACGGCGTTCTTCATCGCCGACGTGCAAGGTAGCTATAACTTGATACTTGGGCATGATTGGATCCATGCCTATCGTTGCGTGCCATCTAGCTTGCACCAGTTTCTCATCCAATGGGTGGGAGATGCTGTTGAGGTCGTGCATTCAGATTCATCGGCTGATGTTGCTGCAGCCGATGCTCCTACACTCGGGGGGCATGATGCTATTGCTTGCTTATCTGGTAGAGATCTTTCTAGTTTTGAATTTGTTAGTGTTACCAGGCAAGGTTTTGTTCCTGTGTCCTTGAAGCCGATTGATAATCGGCTCAATATCATCATGTAATCATTATTATAATGGATGCTAACGTTGAATGGTTAAAACATCGTGTTGAACAGTATCAGACTAATAAGACCGATGCCTGTGAGGCTATTGATGATTTTGATGAGCTCGATAAGTTGGGCCAAGGTTTTACATTGGCCGACCCTTTGGAACAAGTTGATATTGGGGATGGCTCTGTGCACCGGCCGACGTTTATTAATCAAAATTTGGAAGCCGATTACAAAGTTGAGTTAATCGCGCTTCTCAAGGAATATGTTGATTGTTTTGCATGGGATTATACAGAGATGCCTGGATTGAGCCGAGAGCTTGTTGAGCATCGGCTCCCTATTAAGAAAGGATTCAGGCATTTCAAGCAAAAAACCCTGTCGATTTAATTCTACAATTTATGATAGGATTAAAGAAGAGATTAATCGGCTGTTGCAGGCGGGGTTTATCCAGCCATGTAGGTATGCAGAGTGGGCCTCTAATATTGTGCCTGTTGAGAAGAAGGATTCTGGGAAGATGAGAGTATGTATTGATTTTAGAGATCTGAATAGAGCTACTCCGAAAGATGAGTATCCTATGCCTATAGCCGATATGCTTATCAATGATGCTTCAGGACACCGGGTTATTAGCTTTCTTGATGGTAATGCTGGTTATAATCAGATTTTCATGGCCGAGGAAGATATGTCTAAGACAGCCTTCATATGTCCTGGTTTTGTTGGTCTTTTTGAGTGGGTTGTGATGACATTTGGGCTGAAGAATACAGGTGCTACTTATCAAAGAGCTATGAATTTGATTTTCCATGATTTAATTGGGGTGATTATGGAGGTGTACATTGATGATATTGTGATCAAATCGGCCGCCCATAGATCTCATTTGGCCGATTTGCGTCTTGCTTTTGAGAGGATGCGCCGCTATGGATTGAAGATGAACCCACTCAAATGTGCTTTTGGAGTATCGGCTGGAAAGTTTTTAGGCTTCATAATTCATGATAAGGGCATAGAGGTAGATCCCAAGAGGATAGAGAAGATCAAGAAAGTTCAGGCACCTATGTGCAAGGACTTGCAAAAGTTCTTGGGAAAAGTGAACTACTTGAGGAGATTTATTGCTAACTTGTCCGAGAAAATTATTCCTTTCACCCCTATATTGAAGCTGAAGGATGAATCTGAATTCACTTGGGGGGGCAAACACAACAAGAGGCATTCGAAAAGATAAAGGAATATTTATCAACACCATCGGTTCTCCGTGCACCTAGGAGAGGAGTTCCTTTCAAGTTATATATTACTGCCGAAGATAAGGTAATCGGGGCTATTTTGACTCAAGAAGACGAAGGTAAAAAATATGTGATTGCTTATCTTGGTCACCGTCTTTTTGATCCCGAGACAAGGTATGCCCATATAGAAAAATTATACTTATCACTGTACTATGATTGTGCTAAGATGAGACATTATCTTTTGTCTAGTACATGTATTGTTTCTTGCCAGGCCGTTGTGATAAAGCACATGTTATATCGGCCAGTTCTTCGTGGAAGGATAGACAAATGCGCATACGCACTAATAGAATAAGACTTGACTTTTGAACCATTGAAAACATTAAGAGGTCAAGTTCTTGCTGATTTTATTGTTGAGCATGGTATTGATTTAGATGATGAAGTCAATTACCTTACTTTTCCTCCATGGAAATTATACTTTGATGGATTGGTTTGTAAAGATGGCCAAGGTGTTGGTATTATTCTTATTTCTCCTAATGGTGCTAAAATTGGAATGTTAAGCCGATTAGATTTCTCTTGTACCAACAATCAAACCGAATATGAAGCTCTATTATTCGGGTTGATCATGTTGCGGTCTATGGAAGTAAAACATATTGAAGCTTATGGTGATTCTTTGCTGGTAGTACAACAAGTTGCTAGTGAATTTCAATGTTTAGAAGGATCACTAAGAGCTTGTCTTGATGCTGGCCTTGATATTATTGATTATTTTGCCGAATTTCAAATTCGGCATATTCTGAGGCATGAAAATCAAAAGGCCAACATGTTAGCTCAGCAAGCATCTGGCTATGATGTCAGTGGACATAATTTCCATATTCAAGAACAGCCGATGCATGAAGATTTCAATTTTTCCTGTGTAGGTACAGACCAAGTTGGCTCAGCCGACTACTCTTCTGCTGTGTCCAAGTCGGCTAAGCCGACTGCCCTAGTTGGCCAAGGCGACACCTCCAAATCGGCTAAGCCTACTGGCCCAGTTGGTTCAGCCGACTCTCCTGTGACCAGCCCGGTCAATTTGCCCGAGAAGCTATCAAATCGGCCCGATATAACTTCCAGTGATGTTGGGGCCAATTTAGAAGATTGGAGGACTCCCTTGTTGAGATATCTACGTGATCCAAGTGTTAAAATTGATAAAAGTGTTTGGCGGAGCGCTTTCAAATATGTATTGCATAATGATGAGCTCTATCGAAGAACCGCCGAAGATTTGCTACTTAAGTGCTTGGGATCAGATTAGGCAAGAGTGGCTATGGGAGAAGTCTATGAAGGCATCTGTGGTACGCATCAATCGGCCCCGAAGATGAAGTGGTTATTGCATAGAGCCAGTTTCTATTGGCCTACTATGATGGCCGATTGTTTTCACTACTACAAAGGTTGCGAAGAGTGCCAGAAGTTTGGAAATATTCAGCTTATGCCTACAGCTGTGCTTCATCCTATCATCAAACCATGGCCTTTTTGTGGTTAGGGGTTAGACTTCATTGGCCAAATATATCCCCCATCTTCGAAGGGACACCGATTTGTGTTAGTTGCTACGGATTACTTTACTAAGTGGACCGAGGGAGTTCCTTTGAAGAATATGACACACAAGGAAGTAATTGAGTTCATTACTGAGCATATTATTCATAGATTCGGCATCCCTCAAACAGTAACTACAGATCAAGGGACATCGTTTGTGTCTAAAGAGGTGAGGGAATTTGCCAAATTATATAAGATCAAGTTGCTCAATTCATCTCCATACTATGCTCAAGCCAATGGCCAAGCTGAGTCTAGTAATAAGACTTTGATCAAGCTTATCAAAAAGAAAATTGAGGAGAATCCAAGGAGATGGCATGAAGTTTTGTTTGAGGCTTTATGGGCACATCGCATTTCAAGGCATGGTGCTACAAAGGTTACTCCTTTTGAGTTAGTATATGGCCAAGAGGCCGTGTTGCCTGTCAAAGTGAATTTGGATACATATGGGCTTGCTAAACAAAATGATTTATCAGCTGTTGTGTATCATGATTTGATGATGGATAATATCGATGAGGTGACTGATGTCAGATTAAAAGCTCTCAAGGAAATAGAGAAAGATAAAGCTCGAGTTGCCAAAGCATATAACAAGAAAGTCAGGAGCAAATCCTTCTAAGTGGGAGAATTGGTGTGGAAAACCATACTACCAATTGGATTGAAGAGCAATTAGTTTGACAAGTAGTCACCGAATTGGGAAGGTCCTTACAAAGTGGTCAAAGTTATATTCGGAAATTCATATGTGCGAGAGACATTGCAAGGTGAACGTCTCACGAGAGCATTCAACGGGAGGTACTTGAAAGGGTACTTTCCAAGTGTTTGGCAAGAAGCCTAAGTGCTCTCCAAACAATAGCCGATACATATATCGCCCTTAGAAAAAATGGCCGATGTATACATCGTCCTTAGTCACTAAGCAGCCGGTGAGATGGGTATCATCGCTGTTTGGTTTTGATTAAGTGTTTTCAGGTTTATGCATCATTAACCTAAAAACAGGGGGGCATATGTTGACAACAAAAAATGTCTATTTTGTGAAGTTGTCAAAATGTGAAACGGACTTCACCATTGCGTTCCTCTTGTCGAGACGGTCAAAAACATATATGGAACGTCTAATTCGAGGTCCGGATAAAAAAGTTATGCCCTCGAAAAGATGCCTCGTTGTCTGGAGTTCCGACCCAAGTCGGGACTTCCGACTGTCGGAAGTTCCGATGGGTGTTGGGACTTCTGAGAAGCCTGAAGAAATCTGCTCGGGTGTCTAGGGTTGTCCCTACGTCGGGAGTTTCGACCCAAGTCGGGACTTCCGGCATACCTAACAGAAAATCCTATTCGGATCTGGCCTTTTGGATTCTGATCTGAACTGTTCCAAACTCGTGGGAAACTTGGAAAATAAGGCTTGGAGAGGTTTCCTACTGGGATAAGACCACCCCTTTATATATATGAGAGGATCATGGCCGATTGAGTTCACATCTATCCAATCGTCATATAAACCAATCTATCAACTCCTTATGCCCTAATTCCTCTCTCTCAACCCCTCTTGGTGTTCGTTGAGTTTCCCGGCGAGATTCAGCGGCATCCTAGGTGGCCTTGCTAGTCGTAGGAGATCCTCCACATGCTCCTCCCTGACGGGTCTCCCGTGAGAAGTTCGG